AGAGTGTACTTTTAATTCTAATTATTTCCATAAAAATGTCTACTAAAACAAAGCTTAAGTTATATATATATAAAATTATGTACAGCTGTCTGCATAATATATAAACTTATAAATAAATATACTAATGTAAATGGATTATCCATTTTTCCTTAAAGTTGTTGTTGATATAATCAGAGGTCAGGTTTGTTAAATACTTGTAACAATAAAAAGATTCCAGGCTGGCGAAATTTATCGCTGGAAAAGAGACATGTGATTCCTGAAATATATTCGATATATGCAAGAGAGCTGGTTGTTATTGTTCCAAGTTTTTAACAACCTGACCACTGATTATACTAATTTACTTTAATTTTTTACCATACAATGATGTTTTGGCAAGAAGAAAATAAACAAATAATTAAGGACAAAAAATAGAGAGAGATAGAAAGATATCTGTAGAACTGAAAGACGAAGAGAATATATGCACAACTGTATATAAACATCAGTATTAACAATTGAATAAATATAAAAAAATATAAATTGACAAACAAACACCCATGTAAATAAATACAGTTCTTCGTTACTTTATATATACTTCGTTATAACGCTCCATCTTATAACGATTTCCTGGCTATAAAGCTCTTTTCCCTCGGTCACGGTCTCAAAACTATTTTTCAATGACAATTTTATTTGTTTTAACGATCTGATTATCGGTTTTCACAATGGCTACATGAGTGGGACGCAGGACTAAAAGATCGCAACATACTTTTGCCACTAGATAAATGTGCTGGACATCCAAAAAATGTTGATCTGTATATCATCAAGCTAGTTTTCTTGCCGCCAAACACTACCAATAAGTTACAATTTCTCAATCAAAGAATAATAAAAGTGCTTAAGCTACGCTACAGAAGACGGATGGTACGAAAATTCCTATTAATAATGAAAGACTCATCTACGACGAATTCCCCAAATATTTCTAATTTAGACGTCATCCACATTTTGCACGCTGCATGGATGGGCATTAAGATAGAAACAATTTTGAATTGTTTCAAGAAAGAAGTAGTTGGGGATTAAGAACGCCAAGAAATCGAAGACTTGTTTGTTTTCTTATTTATAATTTTATCTTTTTGACATTTTTGTTGTTTTAACATAGATGAATGACGAAACTTGGCAAGACCTTATAACTGCAGACACTGAGATGGAAGGTTTTGATTTTTTGACGATAATCTTGTGACCAGCGAAACTTCAATACTGGAGACCGTGACTGAAGATCATCTCAGGTCATCGAAAGTTGATGAAGAAGAGGATGATGATATACCTGTAAAAATCGCGCGAAATCAACCGACGTATTGGATGCGATCAAAACACTTCGCATTTTTCCTGCAACACCGGCATAAATGAAGAAACCTTCAACAAAATAAACGGATTGGAAAATTTCGTGTTCAAAAAATCTGTTGACTGTTAAAAACAAATTGTGATTACATATTTTTGTCCAAGCACGTCTAATATGTAATTGAATAAATACATTTTGTGTTTTATTTTATGTATATGTGCATACCCGCATACCCATTTTTATACATTTCCCATTCGCACACCCATATTATGTGTTATTATGATTTCCTGGTAATAGTGCTTTCCCGGTTATAGCGCTGTTTTGCCTTGAACGTCAGAATTGCATTAAAACGAAGTTTTACTATGGCTAAAGAAATATATGGATGAACATGTAAAATATGGTATAAATATTTTTAAATTTATAGTTCTTTTTGTTATTTATTCCATTTATTTGATGATTTTTTTTGGCGAGAAGAAGAAAAATAATGGATAATAAATAAAAGGTAGGGCAGATAAAATTATTGTACATAGAAAGATATATCTGCAGTATCGAAACACTTTAAAAAAATATTCACGGATAAGTAAACATATGAATAGATAGATAGATAAATGAACAGCGAAGCAGAAGAATCACTTAGGTAGATACAGAATTATGTTCTTGGCACCCACACTAAATCTTATTTTTTTCTGTTTGAACATATGATGTACCTAGTTTACTGCATAAGAAATTATGCAATTTAATTAAAGATTTAATTAATGAAACTATTTTTATTATTGTTTTAATAAAAATGTATACGAATAATAAACATTGGTTGAATAAGAAGTCAATTTTCATAAATTACACCCGATAATTTTAATAAAAACCAAAGAAATATGCTGACATGCCTGACAGCTGGAACCAAGTCATTAGTTGGTAAATAATAGGTCGTCATCATTTAAGACAAAGAACCTAGAGGATACAGGGACCTTGCCTTAATATCCAGTGAGAGGAGAATGTCCAATGTGGCCTTATACATTTCTAGTAAATGTCAGCCGAGAAGCATATCAAGGCATGGTGCATGTTGACCATTCAGAAATCGTGGTGAGATCAAGGAGGTTGCTTCATTATTCATACATTATCATTTACATACATGCTCTATTTAGAAATTTGTGTACAAGGTAAATTATCAATGAACGAGATTAAATAGTATCATGTGTAATCTTATATAGGATTTTTATATCAAATAAAAAATACAATTTTACTACATGAGTCCAAACTCTGACGCTCTGCAGCAGAGGCTACCCAGAAAGTTATTTTAGCTTGGGGTAAAAATTCAACTGCTTACTGGAGACACAAGGTAACGGTCGCAAACCAAATTTTGATTTTGACGCCTTGAAGGATTTTTTTCACTCTAAGGCAAACGGTTTGGGAAATAGCAGCATAATCTAGGATCAATCCCATCAATAGGGAAAGTAAAAATGCTTGATAATTAAGTACCTTGTGTCCCAAAGCATGATTCATTTAATAAGTAATCATGTCTTTGGATGAAACGCATTTAAGGCATTGTTTACTTTATAATTTCCAAAAAGGTAACAATGCAACTATTGCAATTGAAAATTTGTGTGCAGTGTTTGGCACTAAAGCTGTAAATGTCCGTAAAGTCCAACGGCGGTTTGCTCGATTTAGAGAAGGAAATTTTGTTCTTGGAGATGATGCGAGCAGTGGACGTCCTTCTGAGGTTGACGACGACATATTGAGGCATAGGCGAGAACAGTGGTCGGCAAACCGCGGCTCTTTGACTTCTTGGCTGCGGCTCTTTCACTAAATGTTTAGTGTAGACACGGAGCGAAAGGTATGATGACAGGTGCAAAAAATGGGATTGTCGCTATTTTTAAAGAAAAAATTAATTACGAGATACTTATTTACCATTGTATTATTCATCAGGAAGCACTATGTGCGCAGTCATTTCCTGAAGAAATTTGTTCATCTGGTTCAAAGACTTTAGAAACAACAAAGCGACTTCTTAAAAAAAAACCTCTGAATGCCACGGTAACAGAAATTAATTTTTTGCCCTTTAATATTGATATTGGCAGCTTTGAAATGCAGTTGCTAGATTGAAAAAAAAATAAAGAAATTTGGAGCTCAAAATTCGTGCGTCTTTGAACCAATTTACAGCTATTGGAGAAAAATAAATGTGAATTAAGTTTACAGCACAAATGGTCTGCTTTGAAAGATCTGGCGAGGGAAGATATGTTGATTTTTATCACCTGGATGATGATGATGATGATCAACTGAAGAAACTAGCGGCTGCTATTCTTTCCTTATTTGGGTTTACGTATTTATGCGAACAATCATTTTCAAGCTTGAACTTTATCAAGAGTAGATTATCGATGAGAACTTGGAATCGTGCTTAAAATTAAAAACAACACACAAACCTGACTTACCCCTACTTTCCAGGGAAATGCAAAGCCATTGTTCACATTAGTGGAGTATATGTAGTTTTTTTAAGGATACCATTTATATTATTTAACCTGGTATATTTTTAAATAAATATTATCTTTATATAAGAATGATACCAAGTGATACCAAATTCAAGAGTGTACTTTTAATTCTAATTATTTCCACAAAAATGTCTACTAAAACAAAGCTTAAGTTTAAAAAATGTCTCTTTGAATAAACTTCAATTTTGTATTTTTGTTTATATTTGGCTCTTTGGGATGACGAGTTTGCCGACCACTGGTCTAGAAGAAAATCCCTTTCTGACGAACCGAGAGCTGGAAGATATGGTAAATGTTACCCATACATCCAAAACTTGGGTTTGTTCAAAAGTACGCTACATAGATCCCACACAAAAACTCAGGCGAAAGGAATTTGTCGCATTGCATCTTAATTTGCTATGTTATAACTGTTAGGAACCATTTCTTCATAAATTGGTAACAGATAATGATAAATGGATCATGTACAAAAAGTAGTCGCAAAATAGCCTATTGCCAACCCGGTCAACGGCCCCCAGTTGTTCCAAAACAATAAATGCACGAAAAAAAGTTATATTGTGTGTGGTGATTAGTGATCGTTAATCCATAATTATTCAGAAATCGTGAGATGCGGTCTGGTGTGATGTAGGTTTCAGAAAAACATTTTCTTTATCGTGCCAACGTTTTGATCTTTATTGAGATCATCTTCAGGGCTCAAAGTGTTTGTCTTCTGTATAATTGTGCCATTCTTGCGTGTCGTGTTGAGAGTGCCAGTGAGATTTTGCAAAGTGAGCAGTTTTTGTTTTTCTGAAACCTACATCACACTAGACCGCATCTCACGATTTCTGAATAGTTATACTGTGCTTCTGGGTGGACAAGTCCTTGCATTTTGAGCTTTAACCTCAAAGTGTTCAAACAACTGTTTAAAGGTTCCTGGACTCAAAAGGGAAATATTATGCGAAAGGAATAAACATGTTACTTGAAAGATGGCAAAATGTAATTGCAAACAATGGACAAGACATCTTTGAATAGTTAAAACATGCAAGGTATAAAATAGAAATATACTGTAAAAAGTTATAATTTTCTTTCCAACCCAATACTTGTTTGTAACCCTATATTTGGGTACCGTAACCGAGTATTGCTCTAGCACGCCTACTGGGTAAACAAAGGGTTTGTTTTATTTATACATGTGTTTAACGTTTTTTTCGACGAGGAAGGTGACTAATTATCAGTTGTTATTGGAGACCGGATCCGTGAACAATGTAGCTTTTGGCAAAAGCCGAGAGGAGGGCGCCGCCAACCGTATAATTGCCACTCCCGTTCCTCAAATATCCCTGAGGAAACTAAATCAGTCGCGAGAATGGCCCCGGGCCTGTAATTTGTGTTTGCCCCTTGGGACGCCGGCGCCCGTAATACCTGGTGTATAAACACTGGAAATCCTACCTGCGCAGTTCTCACGGACACCGCCAATTAACACTAATATAAAAATAAGAAAAAGAAACCGGGGGAAAGGAGGCCAGCGGTGCTGAGGTCTGCGAGTCGAGGGCGGCCCGGGTTAAACGACCGGTCTGCAATTATAAACTTTTTTGTTAACGCGTTACCAGAAAAGGCTAGTAATTAAAGGCCTGAGTTATCAATGTTCGCAGAAATGTATCTCCGGGTTTCGGGGGTCTTACTGGGTGATTCTCCTAGATCGATTTTCAAGGAATAAGGAGCCCACCTTTTATTATCCGATGATCCTCGTTACCTCTACAGGTCTCGAGTCATATTCCCTTCAAAGAATTTCCGGGGTATTATTGATTTCGCCTCTTCCGTTCACATCACAACAAAAAAATCAAAAATAAATTAAGTATAAAAAAACAGTGAAATGAAAATCAATACATTAAACAAATTAAACATAAAATCAGGTTATTTGGAGATCACAAGAATAACACATCTACACAGAAAACAAACTCTTTGAGTCAGTACAAATACTTTTATTGAAACTAAAATTTCTAACATTGTATAAATTCATTTTTTTTACTCCCTACATGTATTTGTAAAATGTAAACAATGTTTATGAATCCCAGGCCCTGAAGATGATCTCAATAAACATCGAAACATTGGCACGATAAAGAAAATGTCACTAAACACCACACATAAAAATCAGGTTATGAAAAATTTATATTTTTGAAGTGAATTTATAAAGCTAATGGAAATGAAAGAAGTTCTAAAACAAAACAATGAGTACCTGTATCTTAATCTTTCTCGCCGTTCTTTATTCGCAGATGTTTGTTAAGTCTCCAGTAATGTTGTTCACAAATCATTTCCATGATATTTTATTTGTTTCACATGAAATTTCCCTCAACATGCACATAAATGTTAGCTTTTAATTTTGTAAGTACGGTTTTGCCTTATTTTTCATATTTTATATTAGCTAAAATAGGATAACGCGTGGCCAAGACTGATTAGGATGACTTCTAGTAGTACTAAGTTCGACTCCCGGCAGAGCCCTTGGAAATTTATTTGAGATTAATTTTCGATATGAAAATTATGCTTGAGTATGGCAGGGAATATCTCGAAACAGGGTTGTTTTTATTGAATACAGTTCTTGGTAGATATCTTGTTTTGTGAATGCATATTAAGAGTAGATATATTTATTAGAGTGAATGTATAGAGTGAGAAAGTCAATGGCGAAAGTTCCCAATGGACCAGCAATTAGATTAG